TTTATACAATGCAAAAAAATTTTTTATATTTGATGTAGTATTATAAGTTACTATCCACAATTACTAATAATACTACATCAAATCTATCAAATACAGACTAACCAACATTCATTTCCATGCCATTCATTCACGGCCTATCACATGAATTGAACACATTTCTCTCTTCCGATAACTTTAAAATAGCTTTCAAAAACTATAAAATAATTCACACACTTTTTTCCAAAATTAAAGATCACACACCAGTAACAAATAAATATGACAATCTTTATTTACAAAATAAATTATTTAATTTGTCCAGCAACTGACATCGGTATAACATCCCAATATCTGGATAAGAGAGTAAAGCAAGATTTCAATGATTGTAATAAACCCAAAGAAATTCCTATATCACTGGCTACCCACCACTTTGAACACCAACAAAATTTCGACTTCAACAATCCAAAAATATTACATTCAGAACAAAACAAACATAAACGTAACTTTTTAGAAATGGTTTACATCAACAGAGATAAACACAGCATCAATTACAGAACAGACACATGTAAACTCAGTCGCAGCTACTACAATCATTAATCAAATTCAATATCGATAATATACATATATGATCATCATATCACACAAAACATTTAATATAACACATAAAACAATCATTACATTCCACACATCAAACATTTCTACATAGTATAATTCTTCAACAATTTGGCTTTCCTTTCCCTAGTTTCCCCGTCTACATAATCCTGAAAGGATAATCAGGCCGAACTATTCCCCATTTTTTTCCATCGTCGGCTCCTTTCAACTCAAAGAAGCCGACTCCTCATTTAAAATGTCTTTCTATCACGACTTCCTTCCCAATCCCTTCAAAATCCAACGTATATAAACATAAAGCAATATCTCACTGGCACTCTCAACACGACACACAAGAACGAATATTTGTTAAATTTAAACAATGTTTGTAAATCCCAGGCCCTTAAGATGATGTTAATAAAGATCGAAACAATTAATTAAGGTTTTTAGTTGAGATAAAAAAGTCAATGGCACGAGCGGGATTCGAACGAGTGGATCGAGGTCACGATAGCTCAAGTGGTAGAGCAGCGGCGTATCTAGCCGAAGATCGTGGGTTCAACTCCCGCTTGTGACACTTAGTTTTTTATCTCAACCAAAACCTTAATTAATTGAAAAGAATTTATTTGGTCAAGCGGACCACGAAACCTAATAAAATGTAATAAGCAAAATGAAGACTTCACTAAAGCTCTTCGTGTCTATTTCATTTGTTGCCGAGAACCAAATAGATTACACGACATTTGAAAAATGGCAAAAAGGATGGAAAATTCAAAAGGTGGGGTTGAGATGGGAAGTTAATGTCCGAGTGGATCGAGGTCACGATAGCTCAAGTGGTAGAGCAGAGGCGTATCTAGCCGAAGATCGTGGGTTCGAATCCCGCTCGTGCCATTGACTTTTTTGTCTCAACTAAAAAACTTAATTAATTGTAATACATTAATTGGTCAAGCGGACCACGAAATTAGTGAATTTAAAGATCGAAACATTGACACGAAAAAAATGTTTTTCTAAAACCTACGTCACACCAGACCACATCTCACGATCTCCGAATTGACTAACGGTCACTAAACACCACACATTATTTACATATTTTAAGTTGAAGTTAAAAAATGTGTCTTTTATTCAACAAAATTACAAATTCGTTCTATCTATAATCGTCGAAGTTTTATATAAAAATAAATTTGATGGATGTGTAATTGTCCAATTTGTAGGGATTACTGTTCCATACGAAGAACTAGACTAAATCTTAAGAAAACATCTGTGATTTTAGAGTGAAAAGTATAAAACTAGAATTTAAAAACGATCACGGCAAAATCATAAAGCAGACAGAGAAAATAACTTAAATTGCCATTAGATCCCGTGTGAGGCTGTTGAACAAAACAATCCTAATTAGAAAGGGGCATAAATCGAGTCCGGAGAATTATTGGCTGCGTATTGCCTCCAACGGGAGGATTTGTTCGGCCCATGGGATTACTTGGCTCTAGATAAGGTGCCAGCCGCTTTAATCCCACATTTTTCCCCCGTACCCACTTGCATGCGGCCTCGGAGCGTCCAGCATAAATTTTAAGTTAACGCGTTGATAAACATCCGAATCCGGCTCGTTTTCGAACCCGGGGCACCCCGTGGAAGGGCTCATGCATAAAGATATGACAGCGTGCCGAGTGTTTCATTCTCGATCTACTTCATCTCTCATTTGCCTTATAATTGTTTATTCCTCTGATATATTACCAAAAATAATCATATAATACGTTTAACGTACATTTTATTTTTTCCAAAAATAAACAGACTTCATTTATTCTCTACGTGTTCAAACTTTGTTCCAATAACATTCCAATTGAAAATTCTTTCAAACTACCTTCCCTTTTTATACAAAATTCTGTTAACTAATACATACAATTATAATGTTCAACAAATATAAAAGATCAACGTTAAGTATGGACTTGGCAGACAGATGGCCGTGCCTTAGATGTTTAGATAAGAACATATCTAAAGGCACTCTGATTCCACACTTTTTCTATTTCAATTTTCTGACCTACAATGTTCTAATAGTTGTGTTCATTATCAAATTTTATTGCTCAAACTAATCCTGAATGCAGTGGTCATCATTTCAGGATGTGTTTATCAGCCCATAGGCCAATCAACCACATATTATATTTTTATACTTGAGAAAAGTATTAAACTAAATGGTTCACAAACTGTTTAGTAGTATTGTATACCTTTCAAACTTAAAACTTAGATCCTATCACCCTAGAAGAATAAGATACAGCTGCTCTTGTTGAATGGAAAAAAATTCCTCAGAAATATTTTCAAAGGAATGCAAAGGCGTTTAACAAAACGTGATTCGTGCCAAGTGGAACTACTCAGTATTAAAGGAAACAAAATTTTGTAATTTTTTTGTTTAAGTTCAATATTTCAATTTTTTTTAATAAGTAATAAACATTTTCTTTTTAAATTATTTTTACAACCAAACCTATTTGTGGTACGCAAACTATGAAAAAGATTAAATAGATTAAAAGTAAAGGTGGTGCATTAATTTTGTCCTTCAGTGTAGCTTATATTACTAAATTTATAATTTTTTAAATTCATTTTATGTATTTTAATTTTTACATTGTAATTTGGTTGTTTTTATCTAGATCTGCCTATCCTTGCTGTTATGGTCTGTCAGATTCATTCCAGCTTTGTTCTACTGTTAAGGTTAGGGGTTATTATTCTAATTACTCGAAATTACTTTTCTTACGAGATACTTAATGAGAAATTATCTCTTAAAACTAATGCACTTCAGAACAGTTCTTGCTTTAAACTGAAATTTTAAGTTTAGATTTGATATTCAAGATTTTTCTTTTTTACCCTATTTCATTTTTTTAATCATAATAAAGATGAAAGGTTAGATTTTCAGCAAATTTGAATTTGTTACTTCCATAAATTATTTTTGTCATTACTTCAGGATAGTGAATTATTAAATTACAATTTAGAATCGTTTCTCAAGTCATATTTATATTTAGATTTGTTGAATTTTTTTTCTGGTCTTTTGTATTTCACCGCTTCTCCAATATCCTACAGTAACAAGAACTCCATCCACCAATTTTTTCAGTTACAACTATGTAACAGATTACTTAGGTATGGTTCTGGTCCCATGGGTGAGGGGTTGCACCTTTGTTGGCTATTATGTCAGCCTGTTCATTTCCTTCTATGCCTTCATATCCGGGAACCCACTTTAAGGTAATCTGATTTTGCTTTTCCAAGTCATTAGACAATTTAGGCACTCCCAGACAATTTTGGAGTTGAAAGCATGCACAATTAGTGCCCTTACAGCTGCCATAGAAGGTGTATATGGAATTTTCTCATGGGGTCTGTTGGGTGATGAACATGTAGTTTTGTCAGTAATAATGTACTTTCCAATGAGAACATATAATTGCACCTAATAATTATAAAAATAGTAAGCATTGAAATTAATCTTGAATCTTCGAAGTTACTAAATAATCTAGGAATAGTTAAGTTTATAAATAAGGATAATAGTCACAATCTATAATTTACAAATACCACGGTAACCTGGAGTTCAATGTGTTGAACACTCAGCCTATAGACCTTGTGGTCATTTGGTTCAATTCTCATTCTCACCCCTGAAATTTCTGACACTGACCCATCGCCACAAAATATTCTATCATTGTCCGTACTCTGGCTAATATGTAAGAACATAATTTATCAACTGAAGGATGATCAACCTGTAATTTGATTATTATCATTCAGACAGATTTATCTCATCAGTTTGTTATCTTCATAGTTGAGTCTCAGTTGATTTTGTGGAGTCAAGTTTGTTTTATGGCCTTGAGAGGTGGAGAATCAATAAAATAGTTAACAGAATCACATAGACACAGTGAAGATGGCAAAATGTCAAAACAGGTCTGATAAACCAACCCAGCGAGGATAGGCCAACATGTCTCAATATTTCATTATCTTCATTCATGGGTCTGAGTTATTTTTGTGAAGTCGTTTCTTTTATAGCCATGAGAAGTGGAGGAGCAAAAGGAGACTTGACTTAACAGAATCAAACAGTTTCACTGAAGTTGGTAAAATACCGACACGTATCAGATAGACCAACACAATGATGGTAGGCAGACCAAAATGATCGATCGGTAATGAAGAAATTACAAAAAAAATTGCAATTTGTTTAATGTTTTTAAACATCAAAACTGAACACAATTTGAAATATTATTAGACATACGGTGCTGACAGTAATGTTTGCATGATCAAAATCCATTGAAAGAATTGTTGAATATAGTTATGCTGCTCTGCAGTGTTTAGAAATTATTTGATAGTATAAACATTTAACTTATTATTTTTTTGTTTATTATATACTTTTAAGTACTGTAAAAGAGAAGTCATGAATTGTTATGTATGATAGTATTTATTGCAAAGATAGGATCATTTCAGCAAAATGAAACTTCTGATAAAAAGATGAAGTTTATTACAAAACAAAAGAAATCAAAATGTATACATATTTTCAAAATGTTTAACAGTTGCGTAAAATTTAAGTATGTACAATTAAGCAGAAGGAGGAGGAATCCATCCTCTGTATTTTTCATCGAGGGCTTTTGCCACGGCCAAACAAAGCCTGTCTTGGTATGGCGCTGCAACAACCTGTAAAATTCAAAATGAAGTACTTATTACTTTATAAATGTTATAATAAGGTTGTCAAAAATCTTTTTTTAATTTTTATTTCTCACCTGTATGCCAATTGGAAGGCCATTTTTATCTAATCCTAGTGGCACGTGTGTTGACGGTAGTTCCAATGAGTTAAAAATTATTGTGTACATAACACCAGCTGTTTTGACAAATATTTCACCATGATGGAGTGCAGCTACTGGGAATGTAGGGTACAGTAAAACTCCATTGTCTTTGAGAGATTCCTAAAATGCAAAAATAACAATAAATTTTATTTTCTTTTTTCTTTTTTTTTAAATCATGACATACAGCAAATGACTGCTTGAGCATTTCATTGAGTTTGTTGTAGTAAGGATATGTCGATTCAGAAATCATTAATCTGTGCTCAAGCAGAAGCATGAACAGCATACCATTAATAGAAAACTCAGATAATCCAAGAAGAGATTTGAAAAATTCAACATACACGCTCATCTCAGTCTGTACACACACAAAAATATATTAATAATAATAATAATAATAATAAACATAAAAAAAGGAAAAAAGACAATTTAGATTTTAAAGCATTTAAGGCCATGGATCTTGGATCCGTCTGCCAACACAAAAATATATATATATGTAACATTGTATCATTAAGTATCATTTGTAAATTACCCTTTTCTTTATCTTTGAAATATCTAAAAGATGGGGGATATCATTTAATCCTAAAAACACCGCACCACTCATTTCAACCGAGTCGCCTAAATCAAAATTTCCCTAAAATGTAATAATAATTTTAAATAATTCTTATTGTAATAAATAGTAATTTTATTTGCTCATTAACTGACTTTTCTAACTGTGCATCCATGATTGTTTTTCAAGTAAGCAGCTGCTTCAAGCATTCTTGTTGTTATTTCATCTTGAACACCTACGTTGACAAGGGAAAAACCAGCCGATTCTTGATAGAATACATTAATACTACCCAAATTGACCTGCAAAAGACATTTTTTGTTAAATAAACAGTTTTATTAAAAAAAAAAAGGTTATAATAAACACCTCTTGGTCTAAATGAAGCATTTTTGCATTTTCTCCTCCCATTACTTTCATCATCAGAGTCAAATCTTCAACATACCTGGTCAACGGACCAAGTACTAAAAACTTAGAAAATTTATCATCTTTTGATATAGGATAGTGGCCCTCAAGAGAAATCATCCCTTTAAAAAGAAATATGCATTACATCCAGATGAATACAAAAATATGAAAATGACTGATTAAGTAGCTTGATCATCTCCGATCAGCCTGGTCTACCTGTACACAATGGTTTATCTTTGTGATGCTTTTTGTCATATTTAGTGTTTGGTAAATAGCTTGGCACAATACGGACCAAACCAAACAAAATTGGCAGATAAAAATAAAAAATAAAATCGATAATTTAAGTGTTACCTGTATCGGCCACTTTCTTTATTAATGAATAATCTTGATCTTGGTATGGTCTAGATGAAAAAACAAATTTAATTCTCATCTGGCAGATAACAATCGATTTTTTTTTCATCCAGACTATACCAGGATTCAGATTATTTGACAGAAAATTGATAATAAACAATCTTTGCATTAATGTTTCACAATCTATTGAAATTGAACATTGCACAAACAGAAAATACCATGCGATTTGGACAATAAATATATTATTAAATATAGAAAATGTAATAGGAGCATATCAAACAGTACTAACTCGGCGTTGGTTTATGGCCATAAACTCCATTAAACATTGCCGGGATTCTAATCGAACCTGCAATATCTGAGCCGATTCCAACCAAAGAAGCACCTGCACCTAGGAGTGCTCCCTAAAAATTAAAATTTATTTTTGAACTTTACAATTTTACAAGTCTTTCTACTACCTCTCCACCAGATGATCCACCAGAGGTTCTGTAAATATTATAAGGATTGTTCGTCTTCCCGGTGACTAGGTTGTTACTCTCCCAGCACAAACACAGTTCTGGTGTGTTAGTGACACACAATGGAATCCCACCGGCTTTTTTTATATTGCTAACAGCCTGGCCATCTTGCTCAGCCTTAACGCCCATTCTGGGTAATGAGCCAACACAGTAAGACATACCTGTATTAAAAATTATTCTCATTTGCCAACTATAATTTTTAAAAATAATAATAATTACACCTTTTACACAACAGCTCTCTTTCACTGTCACGGGGACTCCAAGAAGTGGTGTTTCCTCTTCTAATGTCTTTGAGTCTTTTTGACCAGATGTTATTAACTTATCTACGTTGATCGCATCTTGTCTTGCGTCTTCAAATCTATCTTCTACCACAGCATTGAGTAGTGGATTTACTTCTCTTATTCGTGCAATGTAAGCTTCAACTACTTCTTGGCTAGTGAGCTAAAGTCAAAAATTCAAAATTAGTCACAAATAAAATATTTATTAGAAAAAATTATTTTTCGGGAAAATATCTTCATATTGAACAATCCAAATGTTATGAGTGTTTTTGTATAAGTCATATGAACAACTTTTAACAAAGTAACGTTTGGATTGTTCAATATGGAGCAATTTTCCAAAGCATATCACCAAACATAATATAATAATAACTATGAGTAAGGTTAAAACTTTGACTTTACTTCATCGTAAAGTACGATCGTCATATACTTGAAGTATCCCAGTACATCAGGATATCATAGGCAAGGTGTCAAACCACTTTACAATTTTTTAAAAATTTTATTCTCAATTACAATTCCATAAGCTAGATTCAAACCCAAAACTGGTAGTGTGACAAATACAAGTCATGAGCCCAAACCACTAAGGCAGTCCTCAACTAAGCCAATTATCAGATTTGAACATTTAGATTAATAACAAAAGTTTTAACTTTTAACAGTTTGATCCTAATTTCTCTTAAGTACAAGTTTCAGCATTTTGCCATATTCAGCAGTTGATACGTGTGTTATTTTGTTTGTCATATTTGCAAAAAAAAAGGATTACTAAAATTTAGGGAGACCACAGTAGCCAAGTGGTCAGTGTGTTAGACTCTCGACTCATTGACACTTTCGTCATGGGTTCAATTCCCTCAGTCACCTCTGGCCTTTTTCCCTTTCCCCCAAAAACCCAGTAACAAGAATTTAATTGAATGAGCTCTGGCTAATATTGACAAAATAAAGCCAACAAAGAATGAATTTTCTGAAAATTAACAAGAAATACATTTGTTTTTTTATTATTATTGTACATGTTCCATTTACTATTTTCATATTTATTCGATCATGATGTAGTCTTGAAACCCATTTTAGTATATTAGATATCGTTTCATTGTGAAATTATGTGTCGTTGTTACTTTCAGATAACCCTTACCTTTAAATTGCCTTTTGTTGTTGGATGTTCACCATACAGATTTGAACGATTTTTTAAATAATCATTAGTAAAGCTTAAAAAAAATCATTAAATCCCTTACCCTAAGTTTGAACTTTCAGTCAACCCCTAAAGTGGTCAAACATTTTTATAGTTAAACAGCAATTTTGTTTTGCTACCTGAATCAACTTTTGATCCTTTCTGTAATTTGAACTTTACCAATCAACCAAACCATTTCATTGACAAATCTACAACTGAAATATTCAACAAAGTGTAATTCATTTTCTATTAAATGGATTGAAAATATTAGCCCATAAAATAATATTGTAATAAAATTGATGATATAGATTTGATTAGAAAACATACATTAGGAAATTATAATCTCAGGATTTCTCTTCCTTTTTGTTGACACTTGTCATTCATTTTAGCATTTATTCAAATAAATTTATATAAGCAATGTTGCCTAGTTTTATTCATTTCATTTTATTTAGATTCTCAAAATGATAAAATATGTAGTATTATTTAACATAATCATTGTAACATTTCACATTGAGCAGATTTGATTATAAAATAGTTTAAAAATAATTTTATATAAATAATTAAATGTAGTTAATTTTTTTAATAATATGATCTTTAATTATGTTAAATATACATATATGTAATTTGATTAATTACCTCTTTATTTCTAATTTTTTTCGCTAATTGTGTAGCACTGAGTTTGAGCAAGTCAGATTTAATTGGAGGTACATATTTGATTTTCCTGAATGACAACAGGTAAAATACTGGGATCAGAAGGAGTGAAATGATTAGCTGCACCGCACCAAGTATCCGCACGCCGATCTCCATGTTGCAATCTGATTAAACAAAACAAAAAATATATATATTATATACATAAAATACCTCAAACAGTCTGAACCATGAGGAATGTCTTTCTTGTTTTGTTATTCAATTGTAAACTTTTTATATATTAAATAATAAAGACATATAGTATACATAAAATATATTTAATATGATTGATAATTAGATTTTATTGAAATTTATGCAAATGAACATCAGATTTAAAGCTGATTTTTATATAAAGTATTTATTTATTACCTATTAAAAGCCAAGATACAAATAGATATCTCATAAATAATTTTGACATGCATAAGGTTTATACATTTTCTAATAGACAATTGAAACTGAACGACTAAAACTAATAATGCCACATGATATCTACATAATTAACTTATGACCCAAAGGCATACGAATTTTTAACTACAAAAGCTAATGTGAAACTAAGGAGTTCATGTTTAATTTAATAAACGAGAGATAAATGATAAAGATGAACAGTTGGGGGTAAAGTGATAACACTATTGTATTGTACCGTAATTATGCTGGAGTGCTTAATGTATTGAAAGAATATGACTTTTTTTAGAGAAAGTAAACTGCTGACACCAGGAGGTATGCAACAGAAAGGAAAGGGCCAGAACAGTCAATAAAGGCAAGTGTCATGTAATGTAAATGACGAGAATTTTCAAACACTATGGGAAAACTCCATAACATATTTAGAAATACAGTTGGACTTCAAGCTGACTTACACCGCCACATTCATTTTGTCTGTGACAAACCATCAACCAGAGCGCTTCACTCAACTTATTCCCATTACTAAATAAAAAATCTGCCTTAAATGTTAATTACAAAAGCCCATCTACCTTCTCTATATTTGACCTATTTTAACTTACACCTGCCTTGTGTGATCAAACACATGTAAAACCATAACTCAACTCAGCAAACTCCAAACTGCACAGAACAAAAGTCTGAGAATGGTGGATTTAAAAGTGGACAACTATTGACTATATGCACTCTGTTCTTAGCATGCCAAGCGTAGCCACATTTACTGGATAACAGAAAATTTTATGAAATCCTCATCAGATAATTATAACACGATCTTCTACAATTATAAAAAATATAAACACAAGAGAACAATCCAATAATTCAATCTTTATTAAGATTTTTTTTTCTTTTTACCCCATATTTCTCCAAGTTTATTCTTCTCCCAATATTGCTTGTAAATAAATTATTATTACTATTAGTACAGTTAATATGATTATGAATCCATCTAGTTCATGGAGAAGATCATAAAGAGTATTACTAAATATTCCAGCCTCCCTGAATCAAATAAGATGCAAGAAACGTCTCTGTAACCCTATAATGCATCAGTTAATTGTCTTGTATATGGATTCCATAGGACACATTTACAATCAAGATTTGATCACTCAAGGTCCTTATAAATTAAAAATAAGCTATAAGAATTACTGAAATTTACAATAGTGTCGTTAATAAATCTATGGTTTTATTAGCCAGTTGATTGTAGATTGAATATGATTTTTAACTTCAAGTTATGGTAAAAATAAATTCAAAGATCTTTTTTACAGTCAGTTTGCACAATGTTAATTCAAAATAATTTACTTTTATAAGCCTAATCAGAAATAAAAATGGAGTGGGAAAAAAATATTTTCTTTTTTTAAGTTCAATTGAATTCTGTGATACCAATGTTCAAGGCTGTATAAAGAATTTTGCAGTGTGTTAGTCTTCAGTTGTTTTCATAGTCTGTACAAACTATATTTTCAGATCCTAAGTAAAGAGTGAAAAAATTAATATGCGGAAAACAAGATTAAATATCATTTATAAAAAGTTTAAACAATAAAGGCCCAAGTAGTGAACCATGAGGAACTCTATAGGAGTCGGTAAAGGTTTTAGATAATATAAATATTAATTTGACTGTTTGACTTATGCCAAATTAAAGTTTTCAAAAATTGCTAATCAGTATTTACATAATTTGCAATCAGGTTGAAAGCTTTCAAAAAATCAAAATATATAGAATCTACTTGTTGAAGAGCATGATAGGACTTAGTGTACTTGTCAATGGAGTGAATTTACTTAATTTCCAGAATTTTCTATGTCTGAAAACAAACAATGACAAGGTTTAATATCACAAATCTCAACACTAGGAATCAATCTTTATTTTTTTTAAATAAATGAATAATCCAGGCTCTAAATTGCAATTGAATGTGTGTTCAAAGCTTTATGTGCTTCATTTTCAACATTGCAAACATTATTTCAGAAATAACTGAAATATAAATACTTTGGGCCTATTATGTAGGTATTGCTGTTTTAATATTAATGATAAATTAAACACAAAATAATGTTTATAATTTTGAGAAGAAAGCCCATAAGACTTTGAAAATGCATTAAATTAGAATTTGTTTTTACACATCAATATTTAAAATGTAATTATAAATTCTTATTCCTTTATGACAATAACAATCGAAGGTCTGCTTTATCCAAATTGAAATAACATGATAAATGTAAATTATTCTATCATCATAACAGGTCGACCTCTGGCTTTATTCTCAACGTGAAGTAAAGTTCTCATCATTCTATTATGACATCAAACGCCATATGATTCTAAAAAAAATTGATATTGAATTATCATGCCTCGTTATTTTAATGTTAGCTTTTTAGCTAAATTTATTTACCTGCTAATCGAAAAAATATAACTTAAAAGCACATAAAGTTTTTATTTCACGTTGCGACAAGACAATTTGTAAAGTTTTTTTTAATAAAATCTACCAAAAATTAAAATTAACTATACATTTTAGGGGGGCGTCACTGTAAGGTAAAGGTCCCGGGTTCGAATGCAGCGGCCATTTGATTAGTCATAAAACTGGTTTCTCAGCAATTACTACGTGGAAAAACCTTATTGCAAAAACATCATTTTATTTTATTTAAAAAAATGTAAATATCGTAGAAAATCAGACATGTGGAATTCATTATTTTACCACAACCCTAATAGTCTATTATTAAAATTAAATTAATTTTTTCTTTTTTTTCTAACTTGAAAGCAGTTCTAAAGAAAATCCATCCAAAAAAAACCCTCCGTCTGACGTTTGAAGCGCCTTGGAAATTACTAAAAACAGGTCTTTCATCGTCGCTAAAACCTTTTTCAATGCTCGAGCCTGCCTCGTAAAAAGGCCCCTTTTACGTTCAAACTGCTAAATTGGGATACACCTCAATTTCCGACTTTGGCGTATACTCAAATTTTTCGGGCGAAGAACAAGTGAAAAGGAAAGTAGTGAGAGGGAACTGTCGCAACCTGTAGAAGGTGGTCTGATGCTAATATAATCCCCTTGTTGACGTTTTTCAAAATTTATTATTCGAGGAATTACAATTTAATTTCACATTTGTATCAGGATCAATTACTAATGAAATAATCGGTTGTAAAACATTTACTTTTAAAACTGATATCCTTTTCATCCAAACCAAAAAACCAAACCTGACAAGCTATTCAGTCAACGATTTAAACGAAAACATCAATAAGTTAATAGAAAAAAGTTCACGTCTCAGTTACTGTTCAACACTTTGCTGAGCCATGATTTTGGGGAGGTCCCGGAGTGCCCGTGCTTACTCTAGATCAAAAAACAACCGGAAGCAAACTACCTACCACTTGAAATTAACAAAATCTCATTCTAAATACATTATTCTAGCAACCGATTCATAATTTTTCGATGGAATATCACGAAACAAAACAGTGAAAATATAGATCTGGTGGATAAGTGTAATGAGCGTTGTATCAAAAGGTCGCATAGTTATAATTAATTAAGATAAAGCTTATAATTGTTGAATGGTAATGATAATAAAATCCTCAAATATTAGAGGCATAAAAATGATTCTTTCAAACAAAAATGTTTATTTTAAATATTCATGAAATGTTACTTTTTTTAAACTGATCAGTCTCATTTTCACAACTAACCAAACCACTACACTTTAACATTGTGTCGTAATTTTATACAGAGAATGTTTTAAATATTAAAAAGCTAAAAAAAAACCCGATCCCAAGCTGTGCCACAACAATTTAGAGCATTTCGAATGTTTATTATTCTTATTTTTTTTTAGAATTAGACTTCTTTTCGAAGTTTTTAATTCATTAAAAACAAATCACGATCAAATTGTAAGAACTGGAACCTGATTGAAATAGTTCAGAAGTACACAAATGTAAGATTTATTATATTGTGTTTTGTCCATACTTGATAATGCGCTCATCACTGTAAGGTAGAGGTTCAGGGTTCGATTACAGCGGCCAACGCAACAGCTTTTAATTTAATCCATTATATTTAGAGGTCCAATTGTCCAAATTACTTCTTTCAATTAATTAATCTTTTTACGTAAGGTTTTGGTTGAAATGAAAAAGTTAGTGTCACGAGCGGGATTCGAACAAACAACCTTCCGCTCAATAAGCCGCTGCCCTAACCACTTGAGCTATCGTGACTTCACGGTTTATTATTAAGAATAAAAAAAATATACAGCAAAAACATAGAAGTTCAGAAAAAAATCATATATGTAAAACAATCGTACCGCAATGTAAAATAAAAACAAGCGAAAAATTTGATTTATAATAAACAAACACAAATTAACATTTTGCCTACATTGGACGATGTAGGACGAAAATGTTCGATTGAAAAAACGACCTTTCCAAAAAATTATTATTATTCAATTACAGCCTTCTACTGATTTTACTCGTACCTTTGTTAAGTACCAACCGTTTTTGCTTAATTTTGGACATTTCACTTAACTAATGATTTGTTTGTGCAAAACAATGTTAACTTTAATTTTTCTGCTAATTCTCGTACGATTTCTAAAATACATTATCCATAAACTAAGACCTTTTTTCCATTTGAATCAATCGTTCCAGAAGAAATCAAACTGTTGACAAAACAAAAAACCACTTTTAATTTTCGGGCTGTTCTTGTTTTAGGTTTTTCATTTTCTGGTTTATCAAGATCAGAAGTACCCTAAATACTGAATTAAATTT